GATATCAAGATGCTTGCAGTGGTGGTAGAAGAAGTAGAAGTTTATTCAGAATTATACAGAGGAGCCTTAGGGACATTTTGTCAGCCCAAAGTGTCTGTGTTTGAACTATTTATTACTTTGCATTTTTATTATGATTGCTTACAGTGCTAATCCATGTGTGACAAATCTACACTCAGCTAGGTAAGGAAATTGCTGGTTCTGTTCCATTAACAGCCACTGGCCAAAGGAACAATGTTCCTGTAGGTTAAAACAACAATTAAGGGACCCTTAACACTTCAAGATGGGGAAAGAGGGGATACTGGCAGCAGACATTTTTCACACATTGCTAAGCTGCTTCAATGCATAAATTAACTCTTAGTTCAGTTACATCAGTTGAGTGTGTTGTGCATATACATGACTGGTCTCTGTGTGTGTGAACCAAAACCTGGGCCTGTTGATTTATGAGAAAGGGTAAGAGAGGTTGAAATTAGTAAGCAAAGCCAAACAGCACCTTTGCAGCAGTGAATATCAAACAGTCTTTGTGACAGCTACTCACAGATGCTGATGTAAGACTTGAGGTCTTTGCATGGCAGTGGATTGTTCATTACGTAATTTTTTTCATGCCCAGGTCACTTAAACTGCATTTTGTTACTTCTGTAGCTGGACCTGTTTGTTCAGTAGAACGGGATTCACTGTGGTTATATTAAATAACAAGTATAATTTATTGTAGTATAATTAGCAAGTGGATATATGGGGCATGACGTACTGCTAGACTGTCATAGATATTTTTAATATGAGCTTATATAGAATAATAATAGTGATAATAATACATATTTTTGCCCTTAATATGAAAATGTTTTTGACTTATATTAGGGGGGCAAGGAGGGCAGCTTGTAGTACTCAGAGTGATACAGTATGGTTATATGTCTACCAGTATATGTAGAATGTGGCACAGACAAGGTTTTTGGTAAGTCTTCAATATGATGAAGAGTAGACTGGCAATATAACATTTTCATATCAGTAAATGGTGCTGTAAAACGGGCCAGTCCTTTTGATGAATAGAGTTTACAGAAATAATTTGAAGAAAAAAAAAATCTGAAATCTAATATAATGATAATGGAGAAATAAAAGCTGTAATGGTACATTTAGGATGTATTTTTTTACTGTAATTTCATTTCTAACATAACTTGTTTTAGTGAACCATTTGAATGATCTTGGTAGCTATGAAGTTTTAATAGCTAACACTTGGAAAGCTTTGTAGTTTAAACAAATGTCAACTTCAAAATCACATTCCTTCCTTAAGAAACTATCCCAATTTTATTTTTTATAAAAAAACGCTAACATATGAAAGGCTCTTAGGAGGGAATGTTTTGGAAGTTCCTGTAAAATGATGGCTTTTTTCTTGATGGGGTCTTAGTACTGTGCCACAAAATATTTGCTATATCCTTAATCTTCCTCCTTTATAAAATTATTTATTAAGCATTTCAGAGTACTAGCCCTTTGGTTCATGCAGGATTTGAAAGAAATCCATGTTTTATTAGAGTTGATTAAAAAAATGAATGGAAGGGAAACACAGGCCCTAATGGACATTCTTATGTGGGTAAAAAAGGTGAGAGGAAGGAGAGATTTTTGAGAAACCAAAGGTTTACATCTGAACTGTGATTCATATCTTTCTTTAATGACAATAGGCATTCTCAGGCATTCTAAACCTGGTAACATTTTGGAAAACAAAGGTCTGTTGGGAAAAACTGTTGGAGAAGGAAGCAATATGTTCTTATGCTTTGAATAGTGGCTTTTTTTAATGATCTATGCCTGAAATTTCTGCAAAAACATTGGGTTGTATTAAAAAGAAAATAAAAAAAAAAAAAAGTGTTTTACTAGTTCTGGTCCCAGGTAGTCTCAGAAGTGTAAAAACTTCAGCAGACAGTTAGCAAACTTCTTAAGATGAAAGAATGGGCGATGTTTTAAGAACTTCAGAGAAAAGGAGTTGAGGCAGAGGGGCTGTTGTAGGCTGGTAGTGGAAATGATGCTCCAAAGCTGCTACACCATCCCCTCTGCACCCTCACCTCTTTGCTGTGTTTCTCTTACTTTGGTTGCTCTGTGACATACAAGGCACCACTTCTCTTGCTAGGAAAAATAAATAATTACATGTATAGTGATTGAGAGATTCCAATTATTGATATTCCACTTGCTGAATTTTACAACTGTCTCATTAATGATCTTATTTATTATTAATGAATGAGCAGAGATTAATGTCTGCAGAATGCTCATTGTGCAGTTAAAACTGGGCATTTGTGTTTCTGATCTTCATTGCAGAGTCACTTAAATAGCTCCAGTAACACTCACAGCAGCCCAAAAAAAAAGTATTTACAGAGGTTTTTGCCTTTCTAAAGGCCCAAGATGAGCACTTAATAAAGTTTCTAAAGCAGTGCAGTGCGTGGTGATGAGGATGGTGCATATCAGATTGTCTTTCATATGCTGGCATCACTAATGTCTGAGTAAAAATCATGTTGCTTTTTAAAACATAGAAAACACAAACACAATCTTGACATCTGAATAAACTGTTATGCTGTTGACAATTTTTTAAATTTAAAAATCAGATTTAGAAAAACATTTTTTCAAAAGACTGACACCTTCAAGTGAAGGCATTTTTTTTTAGTTTTTACTGAGGGGATTATTGGTTTAGAGAACCAATAAACAATTCTTATGTAACACCGCTTAGACTTTCACATCAGCCAGCTGGTCTAGCTAGATACTCAGTTTTTCTTTTTTTTTCTATTTTTTTTAAGATTTTGGAGGTATTTGTGAGTAGCTTGATGTTTTTGACATCTGTGTGACAGCTTCTTGCATAAGAGATGAGCAGCATGTTCTACCACCCAGCTGTGTGTATTAGTCTGCACATCAAGCTGAAGAGCAGCACTTAGCCAGATCTGACAATCAAATGTGAACTACTACTACCTATACACAGGAGTGCATTTTAATGTTGTGTGCTTTTTGCCAAGAGCCTGATACTTGACAAAGAAATTGTCAGAATCTCTCTGCTTCCTGCTTTTTTTTTTCTTCCCAGAGTTGTGAGTCCATGTTAAAATATCTTATTTTTTTTCCCTGCAGTTTAATATGGTTTATCTCACAGATAACAAAGCCAGTCTAATGTTTTTAGCAATTTCATGTAATAAAATTCTGGCAAGCTTTTGGTAATAGAGGAGTGAAATTGTTTTAGAAAATGCAGGAAATCAGTGTGTCATTTTCTGCTTACTTAATCTGAAGTTACAATCTGCTGGGTTTCCACCAATGACTTCATGTCAACATTCCAACAACCTGTCCCCAAAGAAAACTGAGGACATAAAGAAATTACACCATTAGTTCAGAAATTTCAGTGCTGCTCTTCTCAGGCTTGTTAAGAATTGGTGCTCAGCACGGGGTGAGTGTGGAGATGAGTGGGAGCCAGCTGCTCTGATTGTAGCTTGATTGATCTATGAACCTTAAAATCCTCTACACTTCCACCTGACTTAAAGCCTGTCGCTTTTCTCAATGCTTAAATTTGAATAAATGGAATTCATTGTCACAGAATGCACAGTTATACTCCATAGTTCAGCTTTTCTTGTTGATGTGTTTGCTATAATGCAGGAGTTAGTTAATACATGAAAGGTTTTCCCTTCCTTTTTTAAATACTAGTGCCAGAATAGCGAAGATCTGGTTTCACCTTGTTTTGAACTTCATTTTATGAAAGTGTTGGTCGTACCTTTTTTTTTACTTACTCTTTTACTATGTATTATACTTTTAATATTCTTTTAAAAATGGTATTCCGTTTCCATCTGGTCTTTCTCTTACAACATAAAAATATTGAGTTGTTTCTTGTGCTAGTGTTTATGTAGGTGAAAATATTGCAATAAAAATATGAATTTGAATCCTGTTATATATTTAAGCATTATGGCAGATACAGTTTTATGATCTTTGAGTTACAAGTAAGTCAAAATTTGTTAATAATAAAATTTTGTAAAAAGCAATCCTTGCAAGCTAAAAGAAAGAAGAAGTAGAGGAAGGAGTTTATTAATTTTCTAGGCCAGAACTTCCACTGTAATAATTTTTACACTGTGGTTAAGCTGTACTTATACTGAGTTAGTGTTGAATTAGTCTGTGAGTAGATAAGTGTGAAGGATCAGGATTGTTCAATTCCAAAAATTCTGATGGCATATTTCACACATCTCTTGCACTTGTCAAATAATTAACATAATTAATTGTATAGTGACACAAAAAATCTCTTTTGATTAATACAACCCTGAAAAATACAATTTGAAGAGACATCAGGTTTTTATCACATTGACTAAATATTGGTGGAGGAGCTCTCAGTCTAAACCAGAAGTAAAAATGGAGTTAAGAGAACAAGGGGACAGAGGAAATCTCTTTTTACAGGCCACTGGTTCTTCGTACACTCCCAACATCAGACAGGATTTATGGCTGTCTCTGGGATGGCAGGTCTTGAGGATGGCATTTTAAATATTGTCAGGCTGTGGGGGCTTTGGGGTACAGTAAAACATGCTTTCCTTTTCTTTCATCAACTATTTCAGGGAATATTTTATAGTACTCCCAACATTGGGGCTTATTGTTTTAATGAAGTGGGTTATTGAGCCATTTGATGAGCTTTGTACTGATTGGCTGCACAAATTGAAGTAAAAAAGAAAATGGAAAGGAAACAAGAAATTAATGTGTAGGCATAAGTCTGAAGAGCATAAAGCTGAGATGAATTTAATCAGTGTAACAAGGACTGATATCTAAAAAAGAACTTGGGAGTAAAAGAACTCATGAGCTCTAAACCTACCTAAACTGAATTGCTGCTTTTTAAGCAGAGAAGTTCCCCTGATTTTTTTTTTGTTTTACTTATTTAATTTTCCAGAATTGAGGGTAGTAAGACAAGTAATTGCACCTGGTTTTGCCATTTAAATACAACTACTTTTATACGTCTCTGTTTATGTCTTGGGTTTTAAGTAATTTTCTGTTTCAATTTTGCTCCTCCAAAACAGAAGAAAAAACTTCTTGAAGAACTTGGGGAGAATAGGCTTCCATATCTGACACCAGCCGATGCTGATTTCCACCAGCTGGTAACGTATTTCTTTTGAATCATTTTAAACTAAAATGGCTGTTTGCACTGAACAAATAAATCTTCCTTCAAAGAGACACTGTGAAATCTGATGTGAAAAAAGGTATCCTGATGGTTGATAATGCACTTCCAGGTGGTGGGAAAGAAGATCTCTAGAACTGGGATGTTCACAAATGAGAACTTGGTGAACTTTCTGTATTTTTATGTGTGTGCCCTCACAACAAGTAATGTATAACAGTTAATTACAGTTTTTCATGCTTTGCTGAAGCAAAATGCATGTCATCAGTATTTTAATTTATTTTTTATGACTAATGAAGAGAACTTTATAGCTCCTGTTTGGCAAAATATGGGAAAGATTAACATAGAAATTTAAAGTTTGAGGGGCTTAATTCTAATTTCCACCAATAAGTAATTGCTAATTTTTTGCTTACAAAACAAACTGGAAACTGGAATGCCTCAAATGAAACCAAGCAGAAGTAAGAACAGACCCAGCAGCCACATGAGTAGTAAACCAAGTGAGTGTATGCAAGAATATAATGAATAAATGAATTTTCTGCATCTGTCTTGGATCTTTCTAGATCAGCTACAGAACTCAGGGTAGGTTCAACCAGATCAAATTGTATCATGGTAAGAGAAAAAGCATAAGGAATAACCTGATTGTTTGAAGGGCTCCAGTGACCATGCTGAAATTCCACGACACAGGAGTGGTGCCTGCCTTGTGTTGATACATGGCTCAAAGATGTGCAAGTGTGGAAGAGCTGGGAGAATCTGCAAGAGTGATACAGATGGATTTTTCATTTCTTTTTTCTTTACACAAAAACCCAAACACGTTCTTTTCAGTCTTTAATGCTCATGACGAAACTCTGCCTCTTTTTAAGAAGTGGGCAGCTGACTTTTCTCCTTCCTCATCCTGTTACATCCCCTCCTGTTTGTTCTCTTCTGCCTCTGATGCTGCCAAGAGCTGCTGTGCCCAGCATCTTCTTTCTTTTTCACATCTTTGTAAATTCAGCTTCTCATGGAGCTGATGTGAAAAGAGAAGGTGGCATCTCATTTGCTCAGGGTCAGTAACCCATAAATATAGAAGACAATGGGAACAAGCAGTAAAATCACAGCTGTCCAATCCTTAATAAATTTTCAATACATTCTTTTTCCAAGAATAGAATTATACTTTCTTTGTAGTGTATGTGTGCATGCTAGGTATTTTTAAGTACATAGGCTAATCATAAGGATCACAAACACCTTTTGAAGTCTGTGATGGTTATGAAATGTTACTGGAATCACAGCTGTAGAAGTTGCCAGTTCCATGATGCTTAAATAGACTACAGCTGGAAAGGAAAAGAAGGGTGAGAGCTTGAAGACAACAAATCGGCAGAGTAAAATATCACATTCAGTTTAGTTTTATAGCCTGTCTTTCCTGGACAGAACTGCCCTATTCCTTGAAGGACCTACTTCTTATGAAACAGTATTCTTTGAACATGTTGGAAAAGTTATGTAGGATGCAACTAAAAAAACTGTCTTATCCTGTCGGCTATAGAAGTGTACAGCCTGAACAGAAGAAATTCCATCACAAACAAAACTTCCACTGACATCCTCTTTCAATGTGTTTTTCCTGATAAAGGATTTTGGAAATGGGCCCCAAGCCGTAAGCTGAAACATTGTAATGTTTAAAGCCAGTATGGAACAAGAAAGGGGTTGTAACAAGGTAGTTCACAAATATTTGAAGTGCAGACTATAATTTCATTAAGTACATGGCAGCTTGCTTATCAAGGGTTCTTATTGCTATTCCTAACTTTATTCTGTCACTCAAGTCCGTAGGGTGGTTCTTTATGTTGAGTATCACCATCAATAGTGAAAGCATATTTAAAATCTTGTGTGTAATAGTCACAAGAAGATTTGAACATCAGCTGTGGTTGTTTTTTTTTTCCTGTATTGTAGTTGCCTGTAATGCTGTCACTTTTTTCAGAGTGAACAGTGAGTCGGCCTTTAATACTGCCTGTCAGAGTTACAGCACAGAGTACATGATTACTGCCCTTGCCCACCCCCAAAACAACAAGGTGTCCGGTGTGAACCCAGCAGTCACCCCATGTTCTGATCCTGTAATTCTTTCCTTATGGAGGGCACAGCACAGGCACTGGTTGGCGATTTAAAGAAGACCAGGCTGTTTTCATGTGATGTGTCGGAAATGTGTTTCCACTTCCTGATTTCTTTTAAGATACCATAATGATAAAATAGTTCTTATGTATGTGATGTTAAAGCACAACCCAAAGGTAACAGGCCTCTGACTTGGCTGGCAGCAAAATGTGCAAGGCATTACCTCTGCAGCTCAGGAGGGGAGTACAATGTTGTTTCCTTTGTAAAATCTCTGTTCTTCCTTTCTACTTCATGTTTTCAGGGATTTAATTGCTTTACATCATATTGTTATTTCCCTCTTTCTGTTTCTAATAATTGTTTGGAATTTTGTGTGTGTGATTAATGTCAGATATTCAATGTATTTATACTTTCATATAAGGGGTTTAAAAATATATAGTATTAGTGACTGTTTAAATATACCATAATAGCATATGTAATGTGGTATGAGTATATCCAGTATAGAGAATTATTTAAAGAAATACTGGGGTACTGCTATAGAACTGTTAGAGCTCTTTCTTTCATACTGAGCATTTGCATTATGAAAGAAATAATGAAGTAATAATCTTTAGATGTCATAACATATAATATTCTGGCATCCTTAATTAAGATTATGAAAGAATATTTATGACTCCCATCAGCCTGTACCTTCACATCTGACTGTAGCTTATAGCTCCAATATATATTTTCAATTACTGATTTCATTAGTGGTTTTTAAGGATGTTTTTCACTGTACGATTCAAAAGCTGGAGATACACAGCACTGATAGAAACAAAAGGGGCAGTTCAGGACCTCTAAAGGAATCATTTCAGGCTTTTGACAAGCTCAGGTGAATATAGTTTATCAAGTTTGGATTCACTTCTTTGAATGAAAGCTGTGATCCTGTGTTCTGGGTTTGTAGAAGGACCTTCACACAGATCTGGGACCTGTTTTCAAGCTTTGGTGTTTGAAGCTAAGCATGTAAATACAATTGTCAAAAATTATTATCTGTAGATAGTGTTACAGGGGTTTATTTTCCTCTCTCTAGAAAGCTAGTTTTTGGAACCATGAGAATGTATAAAGAAAAGGAGTTAGCTTCGCTGTAAAAAATTTACAAGGCATAGTGGCAAGGTTTATAGATAAACCAAGATTTATTATATGTAATCATTATTTTTAAAATAGGCTTCCTTTTATGTTCTTCTTTTTAGTGGAAACAAATGATCTTATAAAGCCAGCTCTTCTGTGTTATAGGATAACAGTGCATTATGATGCAAAATCTGTTTTCATGCAGTGGAAAATGTGAATATTTACTGCCTGGTTTGTATTTTTTAAGAGCACGTTCTTTGGATTTTAAAATTAATTTCCTGAAATGCAGGTTCAATTGAGACTTGGAAGCAGATAGTACTAGTAAAGTGGGTTTGAGTTGTACCAGAAGGAGCTCACAGATGGATTGTAGGTCAGTGTGGTGTTTTGTGCCTGTGACTTATATTTGTCATTTTAAGAGCACTTTGAACATAAGCTATAAGACTAATAAAAGTTTTGGCAGATCAGTTTTATGCATCCATGTGCTCTTGCCCCATTGCTTAATGCCTTCAGATTTCAGTCTGCCTTAATATGTGTCCCCACACCACCATCAGTACCTACCTTTTCTCCAAACTACTGACTAATTTCTGGACAAAAGGAAATAGGTATGGTGAGTTCTTAGGAGCTTCACAAATGCTAATTGATGCCTAATACACTCACATTACTTCCCTTACTAGGGCATTAGTGTGCATCTGTTTCTTTTAGTTATCTATTAATTTTAATAAAGCATGTAAGAACCCACTCTTTAAAAAAACTTATTCCCTAGCTTTTGTCTAGTTTGCCAAACACTCTCAGCAGTAGTTAAAGCAGATTTACAGGCAACCAATAAAAGGTGTGATTATGTGATACTCACTTCCTTAGACAGCCAGATTAACAAAATAAAATTATCCAAGCCTTCCTGGAGTGGGAAGCAGTATTGTGCATACAAAGCAAGAAGCTGCTGATTAGCAGTGTCATACCTTGCTGGGAGTTTCTGCCTCCACACACTGCTGGATTCTGAACTCCAGCTGATACCAGAGCTGGTGTGGTCACAAGAGGGAAAAGGAAACTGCAGGTAGGGAGCTGGGCAAATAAGTTTGGACATTTTCTATTATCAAAAGAGAGCTTTTATATAAAATGAAAGATAATTGGCAGGTACTGAAGAATGTAAGAATAGAAAGCACCAGAATGTTAGCAGCGCAGTGCATTTTTTAAAAATGGACATTTTGGTTTTGTTATTTTTTTCCCTGAAAAGTATTGTTATATAAAGCTATTTGAGTTTATCATGTAGCTCTCTAGATTTCTGTACATCAGAATGAAACTGAAGGGTTTTTGCAACCATTGCAAAGAGGAATCACTTTCTTACTGCTTGATACTGTATTGTTTATATACGTAAAAGTGGCATTACCTACAGATTCATCAGATGAGCTGTATGTTCTACAGAATTGTTCTAGAATATTTGTATTTATGTATTTGGAGATTTGCTTTGGTTTAAGCCACTGGTACAAATCCACAGCTTGTGCAATATACTGAAATATGAAAATAAAGTAACAAGTGCTGGCATCTATATCTTCACCACATTCTAGACTCATTCTTGTTAACTTGACAGCTTTGCCTTGTCTTGAAATATCTTGACTCCTGTAAAAAGAAGAATTATTTTTCCTCTTTTTGTTGTTTGGGTTTTTTTCTCCTTTAGTGGAAGACCAAGTATTCCAAGCTGATTTTCAGGAAATCTGATACAATACCTGAAGAGCTCCATCAAACGGTACAAGAAAGCTTTCTGACCTTGCGAGAACACAACTGTTTCTTTCAAGATCTTGTAAGGATCAAAGGAAAAGACTTTCTTACTCCAGTGTCTCGTATACTAATTGGAAAACCAGGATGCACTTATAAGTATTTGAACACAAGATTATTTACAGTTCCTTGGCCTACAGAACGTTATGATATAAAATATTGCAGTCCTCAAATACATGATGCTTGCAAGGCATTAATGAGACTTAATGACTACTTGCATATTGAAACAGTCAAGGCATTACAAGGACAAAATTTGTTTGAGAACAAAGAAATTAAAGATACTTCTGTAATAGATAGGAAGCAAAATTTTGCTACTTCTCATACGGAGCAAGGGTCTGTTTCAAAAGATCAAAGCAGTCTTTGTGTACCAGAGGATGACAAAAGTCTAGAGAACAGAACATCTTATAATTTGACTTTATTGAATTATATGGATCCACTACAAATGCTGTACTTGAAACAAGAACCTTACTTTGGAATGGGGAACATGGCAGTGAGCTGGCACCATGACGAGAACCTGGTGGAAAGGTCAGCAGTGGCTGTGTATAGTTACAGCTGTGAAGGTGAGTGTTCCATGTGTTCCCTGGTGTGTGTGTGCATAGGCACACCTGCATGCTGGTCTAGACTTGTCACGTGCTTCTGAACGCATTGTGGTGCCTTTTGTATTGAACTCTTATCTTTATTTCCACCAGGAACTGTACAAAATACCCGTGTTTACTGCAGCTGGCTTAGCAATCATTCTCTAACTAGATGTAAACATTGGTATAATTAAGTCCCTGACTAAGAGCCAGGAAATCAAAACCTGTCAAATACCTTTCTTAGGTTAATGCATATGCATGTTTTCTATCCTGTAAAATGTTTCACTGTGGCTGGGATCACCATTTTTATAGTGTTACTTGTCATATACAGAGTTGCTTTGCTTTATGCTGATTTTATTACTCCTCTTTCTTTGGAAAGATAATTTTCAATTGGTTTTGGATAGAAGTGTTACTGTATTTACTTAGAAATATATACATTTTGTCTAGGCATGCTGTAGTGTTAATGTGTGTTGTATGAAGGACTTGCTGGCATTTCTCTAGCTGGGAAGAGTGGACACTGCATTAAAACAAATGTCTTGTCTGACAGGCTTTGCAGGCTCTTGCTTATTTTAAAATGAATTACATGCAGCATTTTAGGGGTGCTGATGGTAAAAGTGCAGTTGAAGCATCATTAAATATTTAATTTTTAGTTTAAAGTACCTACCCCATTTTTTTTGTTATTTAAGAGATTTAAGAACAAACATGAAGTTTTTTTGTTTGTTTTTTTGTTTTTTGGTTTTTTTTTTTCCCTAACAATGCTTGAACAAAGGCTTGGATATTTTTTAATGACTCTTAGTTTTGCAAACATAAGATTAGAATTTAGAAACTTGACTTGAATTTTCAAATGTTCTGTTATGTTTCATTATTCACAATGGATTTTTTCTTCTTCCAAAAATCCTGTGGTGTTTGCTTTAGAACAGGGGAAGAATTTGCATTGACTTCAGTAGGTTTTGGCTAAAGACTGTGATATAAAAATAATAGTTTATACTCCCATATGCATTCTCTTATTGGTTTTGTAATTAGTTTGAAACTCAGTGTCACTTTGTTACTTAATATAACAACTGAAGTAATATTATTTACATTTTCCTGGATATAAAGCATCAACTAGCTTAGCAAATTGAGTTGAAGAGATTTCCTGACTCGTAAAAGTGTAATTTTCTTCATGAACTTCTTTCTGTCCTTTTTTTTTCCAATGGTGTCAATCAGATGTGTTGTTTTTTTTCCATTAGTACTGTAGATAAATATTTTTTTCAGTAGGATTTTAAGTTAAAGAAACCTAAACATGAACTTGAAGTAATTATACTGTATATGAGGATTTATTGTAGTATGCTTAAAACTTTCTTACTCTAACATAAAGTTTGCTTATGGAGGGGGAAAAAAGTGAGTCTCTTTAAGTTCAGAGAGCTATAAATTAATAAAAATGAAAGCTGCTATGTTTATTCATAACTCGTCAGTTGATGTTGTTTCTTTTACTCAGTAAGTTAAATAAAAATTATGGTGTTTTAAAACCACTGCAAATTCTGTAGAAGATTTGATTGATGTGGGTAGATAGAAATATTTTATGTATTTAGGCTAAAAGTTATTTTGATATCTATGTACAATAACCTTTTTGCCAAATACAAGGTTTTTTTCATAAATACACTTACAATTGAAAGTTTGTATATTTTTTTCTGCAAAGTTTGTAAATAGACAAGAAAACAGAGAAAGCAGGATCTTTCTAGTAAATAAACTGATTTTTCTATAATAAAAAAAAATTAAGCCACTACTTGAAATTTTTCTGGTTTTGCATTGCTCAAGTCAGGTTCTTGAGCTTTAGAGGGAGTTTCAGGTGCCTGCCATGGCTATGGAGCATCGTGGAGAGATGTCCTGCAGTCCAGCTCTGTGTGTCAGCAGTTCACTCCACTGTGCTCAGGGTTGTCATTGTATATCCCTAAAGCAATGACCTTCTTGTTCATATATTGGAGGGAGTATGGTTTTGTAACTGAAGTGTCAGTAACTATCTCTTTGTGTTAAAGTTTTGTACCCAGTGCATCCAAGAGGATTTGGTTTTAGAGAAGTGGATTGTCTTTTTGGTCTTCTGAGTTTCTCTTTACAGCCTTCCAATGTTGATGGTTATAAGCTCAGCAATGTTTATATTATTCTTTCCAGTTCTATATAATGTCAATGTTTTTATGGTTTCTGCAAAGACTCAATATATCCCATTTTACCAGGTCTTCCATAACTGTGAAACATGAGGATCTTAACATTTTTTTGTAGAATGTTGTTATATCTTTATGGAGTCGTGTCTTGACTTCTCTTCTTATTTTCCATAAATATGTTTCGTTTTTATGCCAACATCTTTTATTTGCACTTACTCCAATTCATCCATTTAGTATTGAATTACCATTGAATTCTCAGTGTAGTGCAAAAAGACTGTCAAAGAATCATTAAAGAATACATAATAAGGAGACTAATTGTAGTCAGAATTTTTTTGTTGGAGCTATTTTCCCTTAGAAGATGTAGATAAACTGGATTAGTAATTTTCTGAGAGAAAACACTGATTCAGTGGGAAATGAAAACACAAATTAAGCATGTTGATTTTTGTTGGAACTGGCTTGATTCTTTTTTCTGCCAGGTTTTGCATGTTTGTTTTGTCAGCTTTCAATTCCTCAAATCCCCAGTGGACACTGAGGGTCTGTGGGAGACTTGGCATTTGGGAGCTCGGGCTTCCAGAGCTGCATGGCTGGTGCTGACCTACCCTGCTGTAATGCACAATCCCCAGGTTGTCAGAGTTTGAGCAGCAGCAGCAGCCCTTGAGTCAAGGAGTCTTACTGAGCTATGGCAGCTCTGTCAGAGTGTTTAGAGATGCACAACTCAGGTTGTTTTCTTTTTACTTCCATGTACATCTTTATATCAGCATTTGTTTTGTACCTACTTACTGGATTAAATAGCATTAGAACAGATACTACTGTAATTGAAACAACTTGTTTTCTTGTTAATTTGTTCATTGTTTGATGCCATAATGAAAATTTCATGTTTGAAACTTTGATCAGTGTTAATTGGAGTAGAAGCAGTTTTCAATATGCCAGAAAAGAAATTTAGACATCAACATAAAGATATTGAAACAAACTGATATTCTAATTGGCATCAGTGTTTATTTTCTTGTTTCCAGTGTAAAACTCTTTCAAAGCAACTTCAAATGAGGCACAATTCTAACAACAAAATAAGGTAAACATTTAGCTTGATGCTTTTACTTACATTACATTAGGTTAAGAGTAGGTTGCAAAGTGATGAGAATGGGGCCTCATCAAAATTTGAGATGTTTCCTTTTAGCGTGTGTGCTGCATGAAAGTGCATGAATGGTAGTCAGGGTGCATATGCACAACTGAATAGGTTACAGAATGTGTGTTCAATTATACTACCACTAACAGTATTTGGAATTAATTTATATTTCAGAATTTATCAAGGAGCGGGAATTTTAAATTTTGACCAATTCATCATTTTTAATAACACATTAGCTTACAAATATCCTATCACCTGAGAGCATAAAGGTAAAAACATTCTTCAGGATTTTAATATAGTAAGCTAATAACCCATATTTATTTCCTGCTTCAGTTATAAAAGTGAATTGCAATCCAGTAGAAAAAGGGCATTTTCAAAAATTGGATTTTATCCATGAAAAGTTCCTAATGACTAGCTTTCCATCAGGTCGATGTAAGTTTTGTAGGAAGTTTTATTACTTAGCAGAGCACTAGTTGGTTCTAAAGATGTTCTTTGAAGTAAAGACTTGTTTCAAAGATTACGAACTTACAGAGATGGAAAAAAATGTAAACACTTGAAGTGTGTCCATCTTTCTTTTACCTGGATTTCCCAGAGAGGAAGAGATTAGATAAGTAGTTTTCTGTAGATTCTTTACCATATCTTGTTTGTTTTCTTGCTGTAAGGCCTACTTAACTCTTGAACTTCTACACAACTGGCTCTGCTGACAATGTAATGTTAAAAGGTTTAACAAACTTACTGTTAGTTGCAGTGATGACTAATCTTCAAGGACGTCTTGTGCTTGTTTCTCTTGTAAAAGGCTGTTTTGTATGTTTTTACCCTGTGAAGTTAGAAGCAACATCCTGGCACGTAGCCTAATGATGGCTATTTCATTTAATTGGGAATAAAGATAATTGAGATGCACTACAGATGTATGTTTCTTATCATATTAAAATAATCCTGAAACTACAGAGGTTGTTCATCATTGAAGTCAATCTAACTCTGTAGTTGACAGTAGTCCTTATCTACTGCTTAATGGATAAAAGGCATAGAGTAGATGTTTTTTACAGGATTGAATAATTTCTAAGATCAATAATATAACAGAAATATTACTTGTTGAAATAACAGAAGTGATATGTGGAAAATTTTACCTTACTTTTAAAGAAATGGGTAAATGTATGAAATAGTCATCCCTCTAACTTGTGGAGTCTGACCAGCTTGATTTATGTTCTGAAAGCCACACATTTTTAGTGACCCACTAAATTTCACAATAATATATTAGAATCCCTGTTGTCTAAAAAGAAATCATCACTTGAATAAATTGTTGTGGATTGTGGGATCTCTTTTAAACATCTTCTCACTGATGAAATACAGCCTCTCCTTCAGAAATGAAGGGATGACAGAATATTGTTTTTTCTTATTTTATTGCTTTTGTTCCTGATTTATGTGGACACAGAATTCCAAACATAAATTGATAAGAGCATTGTTGGCAAAATCTTATGTTTTTTTGGTTTTGTGAATGTCAGTTGCAAGAAAAATTTAAATGTTAATAGAATTTAACCTCTTATACTATGGCTTTTCAGTAACGAGGTAGAAGAAATAACTTTGGGTAGATACTTCTTTCCCATCAGCTGCTGAGAAGCAAAGCATGCTCTGCTTCTTTCACTTCTTGCATGTAACATATATAAATTGCTATTGAAAGACACCGAAAATTTATGTATTTTTAATTGAGGAATATGTGCCCAAATTATTTTACATTCTGGAAAAAAATTAGTCAATCTCTTAAAAAATAATATAACAATGGTCAGTTGGATTTAATGTTGAAGTAAATGCTTACAGTCCTTGTTCTTAGCAATGTGTTGGCAGTGATTCTATTTTCTTAAGAAATGGTATGTAAGGTTACATTTAGGATATAATTTGGCATTACAGTTTGTCTTGAATAGAGATCATTTAGGTTTCAGACCATCAAAAAATCTCTCACTGGAAGATTTTGGAGCCAAATAGCAAAGAAACCTTTCAAAGCTACTTTTACTTTCTGTGCTCTGGAACAATAACCAAAGTAGTTCCAGGAAAACAAGTTTCATATTGTTGTGAACCTAACCCTGACCCAAACCTGATAAGATCAGATCTTAGTGCTTGGAACATCTCTGAAATCTGAGCTGTCTCATTAAAGCATAATGCTGTGGCCAGTTTTCTGCAGCTACATTCTCTCTTTCATGGTTCTTCCATAATTACAGGTTTGATGAGGTATTGTTATGTTGTGGTAAGATCTTACTTCATTACACCATTTTATTTGCAGGCCCAAGTCTGTAAATCTCTGCTGACCAGAATTCATCTGCACATAGTTTTGTTATACTACCATTATATACTTGTATGTTTGACCATTTCTGTATGGCTTACTACAAAATATGTTTGTGTTAAGGTGATGGGGATGTGATCCGTGATTTATTCACATGATTTATTCTCAAATACTTATGATTTAGACACATCCTACATCCAAATGTTTTCACTTAAAAGGCAACTGTAATTATATCAATAAATATACAGCATCAAATCATTCTTGAGGTGTCATAGAAAATTTAATAAAAACTTCTTTTTATGTAAAAGTTTGTCAGTGCTACTTGGGGATATGCCACAAATGTTAAGGTGTCTCTTTTTCCCTTGCTCTCAGTTTTAGGGTAGCTTGCATTTAAAAGCAAGTAGCAGCTTGCTTCCATTTGTTACCAAAATAACATGGTAGGAGCAATCAGTTTCAATTGCTGCTGATAATTATAAGGTGCCATAATTGAGAATACAGAGAAAAGGAGAATGTGAGCTGTATTTGAACTCAGTACTTAAGCAATAAAAAATTTATCAAACTGCAAAAAATAAGTCATTTTAACGAGCACATTCCAAAGGTGCTGGATTTATGAGGAGACCCCAGGAAACTTTGATTGAAATTGCTGTCTCTGATTGTAGTTCTATATTTTATTGGTGCCATATTGTGAACAGTGCTGCTGCCAAAGTGAATGGGAAGGCAGCACAACGTAGTTAACCCAGAAAGGTTACTTCTTATAATATCCATGATGTATTGCATTAAAAATGCCTTGAAAGCCATCCTATTTGCAGTCTTCAGAAAACATTTTTCTTAAATTAAGTTACGATTTATCTGAACAGGGTAGAAAATATGAAAGCCCCTTGAAGAGTTTAGTATTGATTTTTCAGAGTATTTGCTAGCTCTTGTTTTCTCATTTGTGTGCTCCTTGATGGAAGGGCCTAGAGCTGCTCCCGAGCCAGAGCTTCAGTTGGATGAGCACTGCAGCAGTGAAGGGATGGAACTTGGGGACTGTAAGAATTTTCACTTAAGAACATTTAGATTGGCTCTTTAATAGGCTTTACTTCCTGAATATAGATAATATTTCATTGATATAATAGTTCTAATGCCTGCCCCCAGCTAAACAACATGTGAGATGAATGACATGAATATTTTAAAAGTGTGAGATTGTGGTCACACTTTGTGTGTGCCTCTTGTAATAAGAGCTATACAACTTTAATATTTTTCTTCTAGAATTTACTTAAGACAAAGGTTTCAAAAGTTATTACATAAAAGCACATTTCAAGTGGACAGTGAAATGGACACAGTTGCTAAGTTCTAAGCAAGAGCTGGGCATGGTGCATAGTTAATTTCTAACTGTTCACTGCTGTTCTGTGCCAACTACTTATTAAAACTTCATCCCTCCTCTGTCAAAATGCACTGTTACTTTAGCTGTAAAACTGTTACACCATGGCTTCCAAATACCTTGTTATAAATGCTGACTGTATCTTTCAATTTATACTGCAGTGAAGTAAGCTTATGAAAATAGTTCTGAGGGATTAAGCTCTAAATACTATTTCTATGCAGTGGATTATTTTTTCCCCAAGCTCAACACATTCATGTTGCATAATGATAAGAAAAGTGTTGTGACAAATGTATTGAAGCTTCATTGGCTCTTGCACATGTTATCTAGCATGTTTGACTAGTAATTTTAAGAAAAGAATTACAGAGATTGTACCAAGATTTGCTTTGTTGGTCTAGACTGTGTTTTGTAACCATTATTTCACCTTCGCCTCAGTTTATGATTTGTTGAAATTGCAAGTGGATAAACAAATGAAATTTTCCTAAAATGCTTTGGCACTTTATGACTTGAAATTCTTTCAGAAGTTATCTATTGTTATATCAGTGTTGCTGCATTTTTTTATTTTTTTCTTCCATGCTTGTAGTTTTAGTAATGAAAAAAATCAGTGATGCTTAGCTAAAACTCCTCTTACATGTGCTTAAGAACTTCAGAAAACCTTAAGTCCATTACAAGCCTTGACTTGATTAGCCTTCACTTGGTAGTTAACTTGGTAGTTTTCATCTTGATAAAGTTGGTTGCAAAAAAATTCTTGATCTCATATGGCTTTTCTCTTTTCTTTTACCTGTTGGATACTTTTGAATTTGGAGATGATGATAATAGCAAATGGATACTCTTGATTCTTTAAGCCTATTAAGATTGTAGCAATATGGCATGTCTTTAAGTCTAAACCAGATTTTTTTATTTATGATTCCTACCTGTTCCCTCACTTTTGTGGTCTCTTTCACTCTCTCAAGATTCAGCTGTACAAGAAAGCAACGAGCAGGAACTGAAGGGAAGAGACCCAGCAGTTTGGCACGTGGGCTTGAAGGTAGCATGGGACATAGAGACACCTGGCTTGGCAGTGCCACTTCACCAAGGAGACATCTACTTGATGCTTGGTAATTTTCAAGGACTAAAAAGTTGAACTGTCTGTTGAAAATAGAGAAAATTACACTTATGTTAAAATAAGTTACCATTCCTTCCTTGCAGTTAGGACTTGTCTTATTTAGAAAAACATGAAATTTGGCTGGAGTAGAGTCAATTCCTCATACTCTGCCTACTTCCAAAGTATTTTGGGGAACTTTTTTTCTTAATATTTTTTGTCACTTTACAGCTTCTAAAGAAATAGTCTTTTTTCACCTTTCCTGTCTGTTGTGCAGTCAGAATTACTAGTCCAAGTTATGCTTCAGGCCATAACTAGAATTCCCCCAGATCTTGCCAACAGTTGTGCTGTATCCATCCCATCCTTGTATTTCTAGATTCTTTTTGTATTCTTAATGCAGTTTTTCTGAGCATCTCTTGTGTTCAACAAATAAATTTCTGTTCTTCAGCTTGGCTTATCTAGTGACATCTGTATTATGTAAGATGTGAATGAATGTCTCAAAGTTTTCTGGTACCACGGTCCTTGAGGTTTCAATCATTTTGCCAATCTGCGGATATTTTATTAGTCTCCAGTTTTACACATGACACTTCTCTCCTTCTGCTACTATGTCTACATTCAAGCATGCTGTTTTCTCATAGTGGGATTACACTAAGATCATAATGAACACAGCTGTCTTACTCCAAGAATGAGTCTCAATGTCTCAAGCGCAGAGGATTAAGAAAAGAAAATTAAATTGAGTTAATTTGCTTGAACAGCTGAGCTCATGTGCTAAGGTTTATCCATTGAAAGAAACGAAGCAAGAACTGTAGCTAAGGTTTGTTGACACTAAATCTGTTGCTTTCTCTTTTGGCTTCTGTTTCCCTTGGTTATCATTTTTGTTAAAATAAATTTAGTTATAAATCACACAAAACCAAGAACAAGGCTTCTGATAGCATCATGTTGGCCTGTTTAGTGTCTTGGCTTGACAGACATCATTTTTGAAGACTGTGAGCACTTGCAGAGCTCCCTGCTTATGTGATTGTGACTTGGAAGGCATATTCTGTGGAGTGTCCCTAGAATGACTTGTCACACTCCTAGCTTTATGGGCAGAACAGTCTTTTGACCTTTACCTTTCACAGTATATATACTAAAAACAATTCCCTTATAAGCCATCATAAAAACCATGTACCATTTCTTGTTCATAGTTAATCTCATCAAGTCTTCTGCACTGCCATCAGGGAAGCATTGTGTAGAAGTACTGGACTAACTGTGCTCTGAAGAATGTTCAGACATGAAAAGATCAGGTGTTAGAGTGTGAGATCCTTTGGCATAGTGGTCTGCATGTGCCTCCCTTTTTTGTAAGCGTATTAAGTAGAAGCCTAGAAGGAAAGAGGGACAGTGAAAATTAAGTTTAAGTGGCGGCTAAACATTCCTAGAAAGGTTATTATAAGCTATTTTTGTGAAAGAGCAGTTAGGGCATCAAGTAAACTTCTTATCTAATCCTTCCTGACTGGAAACTTTGAGCATATAGAGCAATGCTGGCCAAGAGATTCAGAAAGTATTTAATAAAAGAAGGGGACTAACTTTAGTATTTTTATTGCAAAATACTGTCGATTGTAGTTGATTGAGTTACCAGATCACGAGGGTTTTTTTATTCCCAAGTGGAATTTATATAGTGACTAAAGTATTTTCAGAGATTCTATATGAAGGGTAGATCAGAAAGTTAGTTTATTTAATGATTAACATCATGAGCATGTTTAGATGGAAACAAAGGATATATTAGACATTCTTTTGAAGATGATGTGTAAATCACTTTCTTATTAGTACTTTTGAAGAGCTACAGATTTGAGCTCTGTAGGCCAGGTGTTTTTTTAATCTCCCCTGCATTTCCATTGTCTTTGTATTTATTTTCAATTACTTGGGAAAAAAAATTACTCTTCTAAATAGTCTTAGAGGGTATTCTCGAAATGGCCCTTTTATTAGGTTTCTTTGTGTAGCATAACTGCCTTTATCATTTTGACTTGGAGTGAAAGACAAAATAAGGAAACATATATAGTTCCAGTATATTTTTTTACTGTTCAGATTTTTTTGCACTTACTTTTAAGAAGGGGTATCTTGAAGTTGCCAACTAAAAGACAAAATATGAAAACTCTGTAAAAAAAGAAACTTGGCAATAATAAAAAAAGAAGATTCATTTGTCTTATGCTTTTGTACATGCTGTATTCCAGAACCTCATTTCAGTAAGCAGAAGCCTCTTACTGGCATTATGTTAAAAGCAGTGGCAGAATGCAAGACTTGTAGAAAGTAGAACATGGAAGACTCCTGCAGCTGGTGGTGGTTCAGGTACAGGCACTGACTGATCAGACTGGGAGGACTGGTTGTGACCACCACTGACTCACCCACCCTAGCACACAACTCAGCCTCTCTGTAGGTCTGTTCTTCCAGTTGCTGGAGTGGTGTAGTGTTACTGCTTTATATGAATGTTGAAAATGCTGAAACATCACATTCAATATGTTGCTTATAATTTAAAAGTCAGGTCCTATCAATTCCTGTACCTGTAATACCACTAGTATTTCCTGTGGTACATACAAATCTATATAAGAAACTGTGGTAACTGGATATTTCTTATAGTAATGTGCAATTACAGTAACTTGTAAATCAAGATCAATTGGTGTAGCAAAGTAACAAAAAAACCCCATTTTTTTTCTTTTTAGCATTTCTAGTAGACATTTAATAATGTTTCTGTTCCTCTCCTCATTGGCTTCATGAATGGTTTTTGTTATTCTGGGGAGAAATTAAGTAAAATGTCTTATAATTTAAATTTACATCTTCCTTCTCAGCAGCCCTCTTCAGATGAAATCATGAGCCATAATTTAGATGTATGTTAATACTAAACATAAGGTTGTCATGTCCTTTCTTCTTTTAAGCTGTTACAATAATATAATTATATTTTATTAAGTAAAACCAACAAAAACTCAAAATTACTTTCAGTAAGACAGATTCTTAAAAATAATTTTTTAGGTTTTTCTTAATATGAAGAAAAAGTCTGGTGAATGGCTGCAAGTCTGCTGCCTAAAAATTCAAATCTAAACTTTTATATCACTCATGAAACGGAAACACTTTAGTTCAATTTAGAATAATATATTGGTCTGCAGAGGAAGTGCACACTGAACCCTGCTGTCTCAAGTACACAGTCAAGGGGTGTCTAATATGAAACGTGTTGGGTGCATGCAATAAATCCAAAACGCGTGGAGGTGAGCAAAGGGCCCCATCTGCTCTGTCCTAGAGCATGCTTAACTAGACTTGTCATGGTCCTACTATTAAATTGGAATTTTTCCCCTAATCTTTGAGTTAGACATGACCAGATTTGCAAGCAGATTTACAATTTTCTCTAATTTTCCTACCATGACTTCAAAACATACTTAGCAAAAATACATTCTGGACTCTTTCAAAGGCAGACTTACTTTTCTGCAGCTGTTTCCCATAGATCAAGCTCTTAGCTTGAAGGTTAGGGTTTTAAAACAGCATGAAGATGAACTTTGAATCTTATACCACTCCCCACCCCCAGCAAATTATAGTTTGAGAAGCATCAAAAAATTATTTTCATAACCAACCAGAAGTAGGTTGCACACATTGCAGAGGTTGGCTTGTGGTTAAAGATAAGTATTTAATGGAAACACTTCCACATGTATAAAGTGACTCATTAAAGTATTTCTAGATATTTAATCTGCTTCTATTTTCACAAACTAACTTGAACCCTCTTTGCTCTCTAGCATCTTGAATGTGTTGGAGCTTTTCACCCCTCCTTTTTTTTGAGTACACATTTAATCCAAATGGTATATTCCCTACTATTAAGACTTAGAACTCCAGGAATGTATTTGTCATTACCAAACTTTGATCATGAAGTTTGACAACTCTGACATATTTCTTTTAAATTCGTTATTTTTCTAGTTTTTAGACTTTTAATTCATTTTTATTTGTGCATGGTTTTCTTGTTTGTTAATGGCAGTTAAGAAAATTAATAGCAAAAGTCTATTCCATTTCACTTTTGTTTGTAGATATTTGTGGTGGTTAGAATATCAAAGATTTTGCCAGTGCTTTAAACACCACTGTACCTTTTATGTGCCTCTTGAAATAGATAAAAGACAACTGTCTAAAAAGGTCATGAGGAACTCTTAGAGAAGATAGAAAAGACTATATAAATCCCTGTTGGTAATTCTGGGAGCCATTTTTTATTGTGGTTTCTGTTTTCCTGGGAAAATACTTTACCTCCAAGTAATAAGTTTAAGGCCTTCAGCCTCCACTTCTTTAAGGATTGGCTAAGAATTTCTTATCTTTATACCTTTTATTTGTTATGTTGCAGTAGTTGGCAGTGACATGGGTGTCATACTGTTCCTCTTGAAGTGCTTTGGCTCCTCAGCTCACTGATAGTTCAGTAGTAGAATGAGAATTAAGTGTCTGTGTGTTATTTCAGTGTTTGTACACAGACAAATCCATTAGTCTGTTCTTTTGACAAAGGCTGTGTAAGCACAAGGCTTTCAGTGCTGCTGATGGATCCCAGGTAATTCATCTGTCAGAAGAAACCCAGAGGGGACAGAGCAGGAGCAGGGACTGAGAGCAGGATCAGAGAGAAAAGGGAGGAGCTGGCAGTAGTTTGAAGGAGAGGACTGAGCTGAGGTTCTGTGCTGGAGGGATGTATTTTGAGAAAACAAGAGACAGAAACCCCCCAATGTCAGTACAGTGCAGGGAGAGACAGATGTACCATGTGAACTTGCCTCCACAATTGAAAACTGAATATGCAACATCCAGATTCCAAAATGTATCTGCTATCTGTAAATAACAGGAAAATCACTGAGGAGTTTTATTGATAGGTGAGTCCCATGTGGAGAAGAATGGCCTGCATTCTGTACTGAAGACTCTCTGTTTTGGTGTTGCAGACCTCATCGGTCAGTGCTTAGTCATGTAAAACTGAGGCTGACTCCTTCAGAGTTGTTTTTACTGAACCCCACAAGAGCACTGTGGTACTTCCAACATGGGTAACCAGGGAATGAAACAGCTTTGGTTTGGCTCTAAAACCAAAATAGCATTCTGGGTGTAGTGTTCTGTATCTGAATAAAAGCTTTTAATGCCAGATGGACAACAGCCAATTTAACAAAGAGAGATTTTTCTTTCCAGTTAATATATATTTAGGAGAAAAAGAAAGCAAATCTTTCCTGCAATCTTTTATGACCTAAAATGTATTTTTTAATATGCTCCAAATTCTGTTTGCTACATACAGCCACAAAGAATGGGCACAGAAAGGGGCAGTGGAAGTGTTTAGGTTTGTTTTCTGACACAATTCTTCTTGAAAGTGATTGTGGTATTTAAATATTGTGATGTCCAGAGATTATGATGTTCTGTGGCCCTTGCAAGACTGGGTTCTGTGCAATTTATCCTTATATGTGTCTATAGGAAATAGTTTTTTCATAAATTCTTTTTTTTTTTGTAGCTTTTTTTTTCAGGAACTTTCTGTATTTTTAAATGCTTTTTGGGAAACAGATGATTGCAACTTCTGAGTAGTCTCTTTAGTCTCCTCAGCAGTCTAAACTTAGTAGTATCCTCAGCTTTGGAGGAATTAATTTGTTTAGTTGACTTTCCCTATGAGAGGTGAGAAAATGCCACTTCTAAACTGTATAGGAGAAAGCTAGTGTAAGTAGAAATATTTCTGACTCTGGGATAGTAAATAGTTATTGTGCTCTGCAAAACATTGGAGCTGTGTGACTGAATTCTCTAAGCATTAAAGCAAGAAAAGTAGTGTATTTAATTCATATTCAACCAGATTAACTTTTATTAAGTATAATTTTTCCCTGTACTTAAGGTTCTCTAATCTGTCCCTAGATGATCTCAATATGACACACCAGCACTGTGTTCTGGCTGGTTTATCACCTCGGTTCAGCTCAACTCACAGGGTGGCAGATGTAAGTACCAAAACCATTTCACTGTTTGGTCCCGTGTAAAGCCAATATCCTGGTGCCATGTATGCAGCACTGTGATGGCTTATCAGAATTGTGGTTCATGTTATGCTTATGACTCAAACACTTTTCATTAACTGCTGTTGTTTATTTTTGATTGAAGTACACTTGGTTCTGTATTGGTGGTTGGCCTTAACTCCCAGCTAAGCTTATCAGATGTGAATTGAGAATGCGCTGCACCATGCCTCATGGATTGTTGATGAAATGTAGTTGAGAAATACAAATTCAACAAATTTTCTGGGGTGGCTACATGTAAGTTTTTATTGTATCTTTATAGTCTTCAAGAGGAACATTGGAATACATACTTGGACAGTGTGAACTGGCACTCCAGAATTTACAGACTGATTCTGATTCAATGGCTTTGTCTTTGAAATCACTGGAAGCTGCAGTGGTGAAGCAAGGAGAAGAAATACACAATGAGGTGAGGTGATCTACACTGAAAATACTTCAGCCAGGTCTGAGCAGTGCAGTCTTCTCATGGAGTTAATGGCAATTAAGTGTGTGCAACTGCTTACAAGGCATTGCTTTGTATGAGTTTGCAATGTGGCTTTTATGACATTTTTACTTGGGTACAGTAATTAGGATTATTGTGGAAGTGTTCATTTTTCCTTCTTAAGATCCCTCTGCTGGTAAAGTGAGAGAAGTTTCACAAAATGCTACACCAGAACTGACAGTGTGGTGCTCAAACAGACTAGTCTAGCGCTTCTCTAACAGAAAGGAAGAGAGAGAAAGGATTAGAGCATTAGAGGGAAAGGAGCAAGCAGGTAGACTTTTTCAGTTATTCCTCCCTGGCTTTTGTTGAACCAGGTTTTTGCATAATGCCATAGGTGGCACAATTGTGAGTGTGGGCTCTGAAGTATGTTCTGAAGAAAATACAGTGGAGATAATTGTGAGGTACATATTTAAGCAGGTCATTTAGTGCTACAAAAGATACAAGTGTATTAATGCACTTTGACAGTATTCCACTGAAGCTGGAAGTGCTTTCTTACTTGGAGCTGTGCAGTATTTTTACTAAGATAAATTAGAAGCTGTACAAAGGTCATTTGCACTCAAACTAGAATTTGTGTAAAATGTTTAATTTTCTGTCTACTGAGGGATACAGTATTGTGTAGTGCTACTAAAACTTTGTAGAACGCATTTTTATCTGTATTGTGTTTACCATTGGTAAGATGGAGCATAGTGTTGCCAAAAGATTTGCGCCCTTGACTTTTACCAAAACAGCTCCTAGGGCAATTTAAAGAAGTCTGATGCATGCAGGGGTTTACAAAACATTAATCAGGCTCAGTCCATAAAACTACACGCATATGTGGTTTGCACAGCAAGGGCCACAGGCACAGCTGGAATAAATTTGCACGGGTCCTTTAACATCAAAGCCATGTGCTGTTTACATCAGGTGAGAGAGTAGCCCCTGGTGTTTGCAGTCACCTGAATAATTTTCCAATGTGACATACAGGGATGTTTCCTGTTACACATATGGGATATACTGTAACAGCAATCCTTGTTTAACGTGTACTTATTGTGGACTTAGTAGACACACTGGATTTATATTTAATTTGAAAAGAGACTATCCATCCACCTATTTTACTATTATTTTCTTCTTTTTTTCCTTAATTTTTTATCCCAAGGTCAAATCTTCACTTGCTCTTAGAGTGCTACTTAAATTTCATTTATTGCTGCACAAGTAGACATAATTTCTAGAGGCTTATCTCTATGGTAAATGCCTATTTGTTTTTTCAAACATCACTGAGCTGAAAATATAAAGACCTGTGAAGCTAGTGCAACTTCTCTTGCATATAAAAGCTTCCTACCTTCTTGCATGATAAATCTTTGTCTTTCAGGCACTAATACAGGTTTTAGGTTCAAACTTTATCAGACAGATGGAAGAACATGAGGCTGTTTTGTTTCTTAAAAGAATCAAACTGCTTACTGATGAAAATGAGCCTTTCATTTCACACTCTTAGTTTGTTAAGAGTTTTTAATGTAAAATCAAAATAACACTAAAATCCAAATCTTGATAGGATTAATGTAGAACTGCCACCCAGTTTCCCAGTTTTGCCTGTGTACTTCTCATACACAGCTTTCTGTGCTGTTCGTAAAGCTCCCTGCAATTTTTTAAATCTTCTTCTAAACAAGAGATCATAAGCTTGAAATGAGATAGTGTCTAGAGGTGATGATATTGTTGTGTTTTATTTTTAAATATTGTCATAACTGAAGTTCTTCAGTTTTAACTCTTATAACTAGGTGCAGCCATTCTTCTTGGTTCTTTATCTTCCTAAAATGCTACGGGTTCATTCTTTTTACCCCCTTGTTGCTACCTCCAAAGCAATCATCAGAGAACATTAACCAGAACAGAACCATCACAGTACCAAGCTGAAATCTACTACCTTAGCAGAGTCACAGTCTGTGCTGAAATTAACTGCTCTGCCAAATGAAGCCTGGATGAATTATCTGTGTCTGCTCGAGGGAAAAAGCCTAAGAGCAGGTCTGAAAGAATGAGGAATGGTTCTGTGCCTTCACTTTTGTACTCCTGGGCAGGAAAATTGACTTGCTGTGCTGATAAAGTGTGTTTGAACTGAGGATCTGAAGCATAGGTGGAGACTTCATTTTTTTCCAGTTTTTTGGTAGGCAGAGAAACCTCTAAAAGAGTATCTGGGGAGTGTCCTTACTTGATGTTAGATTTCCCAGAGTTCATTTTTCAGGGCCCTGTCTTGGATGTCTTGACAGAAGTATTCCTATTGAAAAAGTAAGATGCTAACCTGACGAGGATTTTAGCATCTCTGGTGGGCAGCCAGCTGGAAGTTTAATACTTCTTTAAACCTAGCTTTGTTGTCATGGTCTCCCTCACTAAAACAGCCTTCAAAGGAATATCTGAGTAATTGCAAGGTATGTGCAGTGTGTTAGATGTGTGAGTCACTTTGCTCCCAGTGTGTACTTTGTAGTTGTAAGTGAAGATAACCTTAATTAAGGGTGTTCATGTGCAGTTTGTCTGTGTAGCTCATGGCCTTGCAGTCTGCACAGATATTTTAGTGGCAGGAGTGTAGAAGGGTGAACAGATGCAGATACCTGGCAGCTGTGGAGTACAATAGCCTGACAGCTCACACAGTCACAGTCAGATTGTTGTTTGGTCAGGAATAATTTATCCCAAAAGAAATTATCTTGCACAATTCTCTGAATGGGAGACTCTTGCTCCTCCTGCTACTTTCCTCCTGTTTGACTTTCCTAAACATATACGGCTGCTGAGTACATCCCAAACATAGCTATAGGCACCTGGGGAAAACCACAAACTAAATACTGCTGGACAGATCATGTAAATGCTCATACATAGAAAAATAAATCTGCAGAAAAGATCTTCACCAGCCTGTTCTTCACATTTCAAAGAAAATTTTTCTTGCTCTGACTAATGTAAAATCTGCTAATAGTTCATGTTGGTGTGAGGTACTTTCAAGGCTTCTGTATTTGCCAGCACCAAACTAATATTCAGATTTCCTCAGTGTAATAAAATACCAGAGGAAATCTTCTTAGTGTCATGGGATTGTGTTGAAAATATGGCAGGTTTCAAACTAAATACTTAAGTTTGAAAGGGAGGGGTTTGTTCACATCAGGGTGTTTGCTCAGCTGTGATAATCAGATCCTGATTACCATGATTGAAACTAGAGACTGAATTGGTTGCCCTGTTGCTTGTGAGGTACAGTCACAGCAAATCTGTTTTTATGGCAGAAGAAGATAAATTGAGCTTGGAGAATGCAGGAGGAGGTAGAAACCTGGGCTAGCTGATTTGAAGGGATGTGGTGTCTGACACTGAGGACACGGGGGAGAAGGGGAGAGGTGCAGGCAGCAAAAGGAAAGTTAGTTTGTTTTAGCACCTTGCAGTGACCATGGCTGGTGGCTACTAGTATGGCAGAAGAAAATATAGATCACCTACATGTATGGCATTGAATAATCAGTACTTTAAAATAATTGAGTGAGGAGCATTGCCTCACAAAATGTCAAATGCTACTGTTGGTCTTTTACTACCCAGTACTGACAATAACCTAAAATTGGCCTTTAATCATTGCTTAAAGGACAACTTGAAAATATGTTGAGATTAGACATGAGGCCTGATTCTGAGCTTACTTGCACAGATGGAAATCATAAGTGAAGATCAATTAAAAGATGATAATTATTCCTGAGACACTTAGCCTATATATTTTTATAGTAAGTATGTTTAAGCTGTGTCCTCTTTAGTCATTTAAAATACTTTCTAATAATAACTAAAGTTATTTCTTATGTATAAGAGTCTCCAAATTAAAAATCCTTAGCAAGAGATGTTAACCTGAGAATTTTGTCTTAGAAGATGAATGTTCTCTAACTTCTGTTCCAGTTTGTCTAGAAATTAGCTTTTTGTGTCTCTCCAGTATTTAATGTTGAGGGTTTTTTACTGGTACAGTTTCTCCTGTGCATGGAAGGAGACAAGCCAAGAGGAGTGAGTTCCTGCTACAGAGAAAAGTTATTACAGAAGAGAAATCATGTCACTCTTGCCTCATCAAGATAATTTTGTTTCTCAGAATCAACAGTTATCTGTTCAGAGGTCACAGTTGAGAGCAGACACTTGTCAAGTAGTTTAGTGACCATCTTGGAGGGTGAAACATCTTCTCCCCAACCCAATTTATTAACCCAGGCTAGAGCTAAACAGAGATGCTGTGAGATGAATGCAGAGTTTGATAGCTGTGTGAGATGGCAGTCCACATCATTAAACAGCCTCTTGTTGCAATTAGATGCACACTGACCTCTGATGAGACCAGCTAATCCTGCAGAAAATGAACTAGCTTGTTTCTCTACTTTGTCTTAGACCTAAAAAAACGACTCTTTTGTGTCAAATTCTATGTTTTTTTTATGCGATCAAGATACGTTTAAATCTTGGCCAATATGCGAGACTGCAATTAGAGTGACATTACATAGATTATTGCAACAAATCAGTATGACCAGGTAAAAATCAGATTGACTGAAATAGATCTATGATGAGTCATATTTTAACATTGATTTTAATAAAAATGTGGTTTTTTATTGATGAATGGCCTTGTGATTAATTTCATGGAAACTGTTTGCCAGACAGCACATGGTAGAGGCCAAAAAACTCAAAAAGAAGTGAAGAGAGAAAAAAACCCAGTTATTAAAATTTATTAAAATTCTAATTGAAGAATGGTATGCTTGGCTTTCCCAAAACTGCATATACTATTTTTGTTGTTTTTTTTTTTTCCCTACCAAGCCATAACTGAGTCCTTCATACCTTGTTAATATTACAGAGGAAGCAAAGTTTCCTTCAGCTTTTTTTTTTTTTTTTGAAGGATGTAATCAAACTTCTGTGCTAAAAAGTCACTGTCTAGCAGTCAAGATTTTTTTAAACACATTTTAAGATCTGTAGCTGCTAACTAATCATGTTATATTTTACTAAAAAATGTGCTTTATTATTCTTTCTATACAGTGAAAATTTAAGTATTTTTAATTGTAATCTTTAATGTATGGACCAAAACTTTAGTTAATGTTAACTGGACCACTTTCAGATTTCTGTAGCTGTTCAGTTTTCTCTTGCAGGAAAGGGAGTGTTAGGTGACAGCTTTGGGCAGTTTTCTTTATTCTTTCACCTTGGTAGGTTGTCTTTGTTTGCATCTTCAGAGCTGAGCAGGGATAAACAAATCTTCTTTGTGGTACAAATAATGATTAAAGCAGCTTTGAACTCAGTGTGAAACATAACTACCACAACAAAGATAAATATGGAATTCTAAAGACCAGAACTATGGATTACTCTTAAAGAAAAGCAGCATCTTTGCTAACTTGGCTCTCTGGTGAAGGATGAGAAGCTGGGATTCCTTGTGTACCACCCTCTCATTCCAAAGCTACTGGGCTGCATTCTAGCAATGTTATTATTGCAAGCTTTTTTCCATCTTCTATATCCGTAACAATTTGAAACCCACAGTGTTGATCACAGTAAGCCAGAGTTGGCACATGTTTGGCTGGAATTTTTAATGTTTGTTATACATGTACGCCATGTGAAAAACAGGAAAAATAAAGAGTTGAGTTTTGCACCTCTCTGGGTTTGAAGAGAGTAGCTCAGGTCACAAATGGATGTGGAATAGAAATGAACGGCTGGGTGTATTTAGAAATAAACAGTAAGGGTGTTTAGAAATTACTGACTTTGGTAACTGTCTCCTTCTCTATGGGACTGTTCAGGTAGAGCTGGATTCTTGCATTACCCCATTCCTGCCCCAGATAAGGACTGTGGATGTTTATGGTGCCATATGTTTTTATCTTACAGGTTGAATTTGAGTGGCTTAGGCAGTTTTGGTTCCAAGGCAAGAGGTATTTGAAGTGCACTGATTGGTGGCTTAAGCCTATGGCTAAATTGGAAGAATTTTGGAGAAAACTGGAGATTATGGTAAGTACTAGTTTTAAAGTCTAAAGCCTCTAGGGCCTAATTTTGAAAGCGCTCACAATTATGTTTTTAATTGTACTGTAGTAATGGGTTTTAGACTTTATTCAGAACATATGAGAAGCAGAATCAATGTCAGCCTTTCACTGTCTCCTCTTACTTTTATCCCCCAGTAGCCAGAAAAAATGTGAGAAAAATCAGATCCAAACCCCCAGGATTTTAGTTAGTTTTCGACTTTGCTTGTTTTTAAAGTTTGAAAGCCTTATAAAAGCTTCAAATGAGCCTTTTAGAGCCTCACAAGATGACAGCCATATATTACACCACACAAATAGTGTGCATTGTCAACTTTTTTGTACAACACCCTGACAGACACCTCTGCTCATGACAACAGTGCTGATGTGTCTGAGGAAAGCTGAGAACAAAATTGGTGAGCTGGAAGTACAACTGTCTGTGGTCCACCTGCACACTTAGAGCAAAGCCAGAACCTACAAGAGGGGATTATTTAAAGAATAAATGTAATAATGATTTCTGGGTACTTCAAAGTACATTGTGCATTCCTTGAAAAGGGATGCAGTGCTGAACACTGTTCTCCTGTTGCTGCTGCTGTCCATGTAGAGCCTCAGGTGAGCCTGTGCTGTCAGAGTTTCAGAGCAGTTACCTGCGTGCCTGTTGCTGGGTTTGCACTCAGAAGGGGCTGTGCTGGCAAACCCATTGTCCACCTCTCAATCTATCTGCATCAGAAGCTGCTTCTCAGTCATTTCTGCTGGCCACAGCATACATTAGCCTCAACTTGCCCGTACTGGTTGGAAGACTTTGTGCTGTAGCTGGGGATGCTGAGTACCATTTGTGTCAGGGCTGTGTTTGAGGTGCAGCAAGAACCCCGAGTCTGACAGTCACTGCTGTGACTCAGCTGCTCGCCTGCAGTGGGATCTGCCCCAGCAGTGACTGGTTCAGACTCTGAAAACATGCCTGGAAAAGTGGATATTTCAATTGTGGAATCAGTTGCCACAAGAAATCAGTGAACATTGAATTTTCCTACAAAAGGAGAGAAAATATAACTTGCTTATGTGTTTCGGTTATTTTTTCCCCTCGTTTTGGTGTTCTTATGTGCTCACATTTCTTGAACGACCCTTATAATTTAAAAAAATCTTTCGGTTTGTTTTTCTTTCAAATGACAACTTACGCTCTTACTAACACAGGCTTAGATGAGGTAGAGACAAGAATGTTTGATATTTTATATCCATTGTGTGTTGAAAACATGGAAAACCAGCAAACTCTGGAACTCTCAAGGGTTAGGTTTTCTGCAATTGGTGTGACATTGCCATGTGTCTCTAATTAGAAACCCGGTGGCGTCAGTGTATCTCCTTTCAACAGGCCTCGGGATGATATTTATCAGCAAACCCAAGCTCGGGCCAAGACAGAAGCTGCTTCTAATTTATATTTTAAGGATTGCTTTAATGTTTTATGACTTATAACATATTAATCACAATTAATTTCAGCTATTGGAGGAGACAGAGGAGAATGTTAATTGGGAATGTCTGTTCTGCCGAGCCTCTGGGTAGCCGCGGCGCTGAGGCGGCCGTGGGGGCGCGGGCCGCGCCGGGCCGGCAGGGGGCAGCGTTGTGCCGCGGTTCCGCACGGCTCCGGCCGCGGGCAGCGGGAGCGATCCCGGCCGGGATCCGCACGCGGGAATCAATCGGGGTTAACGCGTGCAACAGCAATTTAACATCCAAACTCACTCCTTCGCTGCGTGCTTAGCTTCCGCAGCTACGTTAAATCAAAAGGGTATTTTTGAACGTACCCAGTAGTCTGCAGTCGATGGGTTGTTTTTTTTTTTTTTTTACCCTCCAAGTTTGTAACTTTAGCTGGATGATTCATAAAAAATAAAAAGAGGGAGAAGTATAAAATGCTTAAAGTAAAACGTCTTAGAATTGTTGGTCTTTGCTGCTTAAAAGGAATTATTTCTTAAAAGGAAATATTTAAGCATGTTTTTCCTTTGTGTATGAGCTGAACAACTGTTGACATAGCTTTTCTGTATATGTGTCTAGAGTGATACAAAAGTCAGTCTCAGAGACCTTCTGTGGGTGTTTTTTTTTTTTTTTTTCTTTTCCCCTTGATTAATAAAGCAGCTATAAAGAAGAAAAGAAAGTTTCAAAAGTTATCTCTGATTCTGCTAATTGTAATTGCTCTTCTGTCACGGCAGAGTATGATATTGCAAGAAGTTTAGCCCAGTGTCTTCAAACCTGTGGGCTTTATGAAATATTTTTTTACATTATAGCAAGCACACAATTTTATCATAATGTTTATTCCTGGCATTTCTTTCCCTGAGGATAGTTTTACTTAGAGCTCACTCTTGTGATGTAAATGTTAAACCTTTCATTTGAATGACATTCTGATAAAACATCACATTTCCCACAATATTACCTCATGAATTTATGAGCCATTAAATCTGAAGCAGTTTAACCAATCTTCCTTTTTTTTTTTCTCTCCCTCCCCTGAAAATATGAAGGCTATTCATATGTTGGAGGGTTTTTTTTAAAAGTCATCCAAGATTAACACGTTATCGCCTGCAACATCAGGATAAATGCTTGCAGAATTCAAAGGGAGAGTTACCATTTGAAAAAAGACCGTACAGGCTTTGCTTTCTGGGTAAAGAGAAGTCTGAAAAGCTGAAATCTCATGTGATGTGAGCAAGTCTTGCTGTAGCTGTTCTGAGATTCAGTGGAGAGACAATTTGTCTCTCAGGGTCTGATATCATGCAAACCTTGCAATCTGACATTTATTTTAGCTATGAAAATCTGTAACCACCACACCAAATCTGTAAGAACTGCAGAAGTCTGACAGCCGTTTTTTGATTATTTTGTTTTAGGTTGATTCACATGAGAAAAGTAAAATGTAAATCAATGAAATTATTTTTTTCTTGTGGAATGAAAAGTAAACATATATGGCTACACTTGCAAGTTGAATTTTTGAAGGCTTTAAAAAATATATCTAGTGTTCCTTAAAACACAAAAGAGCTGAACAGTGCTATATGGTGTGAACTGTATTTCCTGCTTTGACAGTCCATTTAGCAATGTAGCAATGTATTTATATGGCAGTTGGCCTTAACAACCTTTATTGACTTTAGTGGGAAAGAGGCAAGACTGGCATTATTAAAATGTATCAATTTCATTGCAGTATAAAATCACAACATATATAATTATTTTAGGTAGGCTAGGCTCCATTTAATCCTATTTATGCAGGAATTTAGCAAGATGAAAGAAAGCATGGAACTGAATTGTAGAGAAAAGCGTGAGTGACTTGGAGTTGCATTTAACAGCACAACTGCTTCACTACCTACAGTGAAGGGACTACTTAAAGGAATGAAACATAGATCTGGAGGAAGTAATTTCTTAATGGGATAACTGAAACACGAGTAGTTGTTACACCATTTGTTTCATTTTTTGGCATCTTAAAACAGCGAATGATAATGAAATGCAGCACACCTTTTAATTTGTAGTAGTGCAAAAGCAGAAGTGTGCACACTTGGTGTAAGTGGAATGATGAAAGTGACATTTCATGAAGGCTGGTATATTTCATCTTGATTTGATTTTTGTCAAAACTTTCTAAAAACTGTCTTTAGTCTCATTATTACTGTTATTCTTAATAACAGGTTTTTTATCAGTTTATACAGCTGACTTGGAAATCAGAGAGCAAGGCTATTTTATTGTAAAATTATTTTTCTTTCCTTTTTGAGGTCTGTTTCATTATTTGTTCCTATTGCTATATATGGAATATGTCATAGTTTCAGCTATAAGCCACTATTGTCAGGGGCTTACAGCCTGACAGTTAGAATTGAGTCTACACTGAAACTTGAGCTACAAAATCTCAGCCCAGAGCCATTTTTTTTCTCCAAAATTAAAGCAAGGGTTTAAATATGTATTTAAATCAAGAGCATTTCAGTTCCCGGATAACCATGAAAAGCTCTAAGAAAAAAAATATGCTTTTACAAGGAATTCTCCTAGCTTTTGTAGACTTTGGCACTTTAAACAACTAACCAATTATTTTTAAAAAAAATAGATAATGGGATCACAAACAGGCTGGTTGGTTGTTTAGCTTCTTTCAGAAATTGCATAGCAACTTAACTGACACTTGAATTGGTTTGACCTTGTCAGCCAAAATTCCAGGAACTCTGAGGTATTATTTTAATTTCTCTTCTGGTTTTCCCGTGGTGCTCAGATATTGCAGTGTCACACTTTATTGGAGGGCCATGTGGCGATGGGTGATCGGATTTGCCTAATGAGCTGTGAAATGCAGGAGCAACATGGCAGCTTGAAAACCCAAATTTTACCCATATTTATTGTCTTTTGGGGCTCTCCTTATCTGTTTAGGCCAGAGCCTTCAAATAAATGTATTCTTGGAAGATTATATTTTATGTACACTGGAAGTCAGATGTTTCTGGAAATGTATCTTTTATCTTAAACAACAACAACAAAACTTGATCCTGGAGACTTATTTTCCTTTTTTTTTTTTTTCTTTTTTTCTTTTTATTTTTTTTTCCTGGCAATAATTTCTTTGACCCTAATATTTTTAGCTGTCAGATATGGGAGAGAGGATTTAGCATTGTCTGTAGTAGAATCACAATGAAACTGTAAAAAGAAAAAAAAAGTAAAGTTGTATTGCACGTCTTTGAGGAAAAAAATTATTTACAATTCTGAGGGAATTCAGACTTAAGCTTCCAAAACAACATGTGTGCTGAAAGCACAAAAGACTGTGTTTATGATTCTCTTTGAAGTGTTTCTGCAACAGGATAAGGAAAATTTTAGAAACTGTCTGATAGTGTTCAGGGTAAATACTTAAACCCCTTTAGAGAATTTCACACACAGATACTGTGCAGCAGAAAAAAGGATACTTATGTTTCCTAAAGCTGCTACAGCCTACAGCTTTGTACTTAAAGACAGAGGTGTTGAATAGAATTCTTCTGAGGATACATCCAGTGACAATATCTCCAGGAACATCAGAGCAAA